GAAATTAAGAAAGCTTTCAAATATTCATGGGCTTTTAAAAAACTCAAACGATTGTGTTTTTTTTTTAGTTATTCGCAAATACAGATTTAAACTCATCGTAACTTTTTTTCATAATCTTTTCGGGGAAGTATGTTATGAGTATATGCATAACTTAAAAGTGCTTCAAGTAGAAGATTTTTGCCAAATATAATTAAAATCGTTACAGCCGTTTAGGCGCTATAGTCTAAAGCAACACAGATTTTTCGGTCGCCTTTCCGAAACGAAAGGCCAGAGGGTAATTAGATGTATATAAAAACACACTTTATGTCAGTATTTCAAAGCAATTGGTGAACGAGTTTCGGAGATTAGCGGTTTTGAACAAACAAACATTTTAACACTAAACAACACGTTTTATCAATATAGATGTAACGGTTATTGTTGTCGTTGTTTCGATTATTTTAGCTAAATATATCCTAAAATGGTTTATAAGCAGTTCTGTAAGATTTATAGATCAGAACAACGAAAAAAAAAAGAACCAATGAATCCCTAAGAAGGGACTAATCTTTCATTTGCTCTTTCTTAGTTTAAAACTGTCCATAATTTATTTTTGGTTTTTTATAATTAAATAAAAAAATCGATTGATCTGAAAACCTGGATGCCTACCACTGATGCAATATATGCTGTCAGAATTTCATAAGTTTTTAAGGAATAATTATCTAATTTATTATTAAAAAAACACTTTATTCAGAAATATTACAATTTGTCACAGTTAAGGACACTTATAATAGAGTTCAGAGATTGCATTCATACCGTATATACAAAAATATAAATAAATAAAGTAATAACAAAAGAATAAGAAGAAAGAACAAAAGAGTAAAGAAAAAAAAATAATATATATACACATAAGTAAATAAAAATAGAAATAAAAGTAAAACAAACACAGAAATAAAAGTAAAACAAACACAATTATCTAATTAACTTTACAGAAAAATAATGATAAAGACTATATTTTCTGATAGTTAAATCCGTTGGCAAAGATCCACCATCAGAACTGAAGCTGTGATTCACATTAATATTGACAATTATTACTTGTAAATTTGTATTACTTAAATATACTGTTAAAACAAAAGGAGGAGCCCAGTCTGATTGTTGAGCCTGTTGTTCCTTTCTGCCTGTTTTATTAGACCATAAATTCTTTGGAACTAGTGAAGCTTGGAACTGGAAACAATCGATTTGCGCACAGTTCATCTTAATTTAACCATATTTTGGAGATGTTTTTTACCTTTTCGTGAATTCTCTTATCAATCTTTTTGGCTCGTGAAGCTCGGACACTTACCGATCGAAGGGTCGACGTTTAAGTATTTCAGCGTTTGATGCTCCGAAAAAAGGTTATTGAAATTATAAATGAAAAACCGAAAAGAAATTCTGTATTAAGTTCTGAAAAACTTTCACTTGCATAACTGTGATAGATGAGAAAGAAAGAAAAAATCTCATTTGATTTACACTTTTAGATTAATACTAATGACTTCTGGTTCTTTCGAACTACTAACCCGATTTTAATGAAACGTTAAGTGCCGGTAGCGCACAGTGGGGCAGATTGTGTGAGTATATTTAGAAGTGCAGAACTTATATATAATGAAAGAAATTTTATTTACTAACTGCGTAATGACTCAAACCCGTACCTGCTTATGTTATGAAACAAAAACAAAAGACAAAAGGATAATTGAAAAAACGAATAAAACTGTAACTTGTTTTTAAAAACTTGTAATATCTAATGTTAATAGGACGAAAAACAAGTATAATATTATACTCAATATAAGTACCTACTACTATAAGTACGTTTCTATACCAAGCCATCAGAACTCAGCGACCTTCCTATATTTTTCACAGCCTACAATTTAAATATTCCATTCAATCCCGTCCCACTAGATCTCGTACCTCTGACCTCTATCCACCTCCTCACCGAACTGCTGCGTTTAACAAATCCTTTATAATTCAAGCCATCTCCACCTGGAATACCATCCCTCCCGATATCCGACATGCGCAATCAGTTTTCTCATTTAAATCTCTCCTTTTTAAGCGCCTGCTTCTTTCCCAACCCGATTAATTATGAAAATTAGATAAGAGAACTTTTTAAGTTCCTCAGAAATGGTTTTGTTTAATTATGTTATTTTATTTTCACATGTTTGTATTGTGTATATCTGTTTGTATTTAGTGGTTTTGGTTTATTTTTCTTATAATATTTTTATTTTAATGAGCATTGTAAATATTTAATTTAATTTTATGGCCACATAGGCATTTTCTCTGTATCTATAATTTGTCCTAAAGGGACAAAAGTTCCAGGATAATAAAAATCTATTTTCATTTTCATTTTTTCATTTCATTTTTATTACTTATAATAAATAAAAATAATTTTGTTTTTTACCATTTCGACATGTTAAAGGCCATGGCAACAAACAAAAATAGCAATGAACGTATAAGTGGAATTAATAATAGGTGAAGCAATCCTAGAAAATTTTCTCGAATTAAATTGTCTATATTTTCTCAAGTCTTTATGTTTTGCTTTAAGAGTCTTTTCTGATGAAATACCAATTAATAAATTCACTGCTATAATAATTTCTGACGCATAAATTAAAATGGGACAGAACAGACCTAGATGGCATGAAATACCAGAGGTATAAATTTACAAATAACTTTGCGGCATGTATTAAATATTTTTAAAAAGCATCAGAATTAACAGAGTGTTCGCTTTGTAATATTTTAAGAATTATAGAAAAATGTAAAAAGCACATATTCAAGCGACCATTGCGTATTTATTTTCCCAATTAGACACAGATTTAAGTTGTGTAGCATTAGTTTTAATTCCATGACAAATGAGCAAGTTTCCGGAATGTTTAATCCATTTTTGGTTTGATTTATCTAACGAATTTTGTTGCGATTGTATTTTATTTATTTTTGCTGTTGTTCCAACACTTTACTTTACTACTTGAAACAAAAGCAATTAGTAACTATGAATATTTATAAATTATGTAATTTATTTATTTTATTTTTTTTCAATCAAATCTTCTTTGTTGGAAATTAGCAATACTAAAAAACTTATAATCGAACACTGCTTCGTTATTTTCCCTTAGGTATTTCCTTAGTTCTCATAGCATTAAAGAGATTCTTTCTCGAAATTTCAATAATTTCTTAATAAAAACTGTATAGTAAATATCGGATAATTTTACCGCTTCGATCTGTGAAAAATAGTCGATCCCATAGTAAGGAATGATTCATCAAATAGAAAGATCGAAAACAAAAACAAAGAGGTTGATGTTTTTTTTACAAACTAGCCCTGCCTATTAATATTAAAAAATATTGTCCACTTTCTGATTGGCACAACTCCAGATTCTTCAGGCCAGAATGTGATTCTTTACCAATATATCGATATTATACAGTTTGCCATCGATGCTTTGCGATAATTACTTGGAATGGTTTTCGCCAGTCACTTTTCTTAAGAACGCCAGACAATTTTTATATATTCACAATGGAGTGAATTTAATCAAGGGAGATTCAACATCCTCACACTTCATCTCCATTTAAATAATCTAAAAGTGCCTATATGCAGAATTTTCGAAATGACTTCCTCTAAAGTATATTAAAAAGAATAATTAGAGTTCTCTCATCGCAAGTAGTGATAAGGAATGGTTGAACATAAACTATGAAAGAATAAAAAGGGGAAATGTTTTCGTCCACAGTTTCCTTTGCACGTACCGCCAATGATAATTTTTATCAAGCATATTCCACGAGAGAGGATGTTCTAAAACATTGTTGATTAATTTTGTACATTCATACCGAAAAAAAATAATAATAATAATAAAGGTTCCCACAAAATGAAACTGTTTCAAGAAAGGATTTATTCTTGTTTTTGTAAATAATATAAAATATATTTTTTGAGCGAGCAGCCCTGATGAAGGCCTAAAACTTAAGCCGAAACGTCTAAATATGAAGTTCAAGATTATGATGAGAAACGTGTTTATACTATTAGGTAAGATATTCATACACAAAAATAATCTGAGTGCAATACCAATTGAGCATTTAAAAAAAAAAAACTGAATAATACTTTTTCAACTCTTTCGTATTTTGGACGTAAGATAGTTCGTTCGGTTTCTTAGTATTGAACAGTATAGGGATGTTCTAATTATTTTTCTCACTATGTAACGATATTACAATAAAGATCATACCTTTTCCCCAATTTAAGAATATTTTAGACTCTCATAATCTACTTCAATCAGTAACGTTTACCTAAATAGAAAACTCTTACACTTTTTTGTCTGTAACTTTTTATGCATACCAATATGTGACCTAATTTTTAAAAATTCAATGTATCTAGCAACATGTTACATTAGCAAATATGTGAACCTTAATGACCCGTTCTCGCCCGTTTAGAGGCTGCTATAATAATTGTGTTCTAGGTGAAAATATCATTATAAGAGATAGATTCGTTGCAATAAGGCACTGGAAAGTTTGCATAGTAAACCTAAATTCAGATTAGTTATTATTATCAACATATCTTATTATTGTTATTTGCCTTCTTTTTTTTTTCAATGCATGGCAGACATACGACTTGTAACTCTTGCCATTTTGATTGTAAATAGTTCATTTACCATGAAAAATTGATTATTTCGTCTTGTTATTTATTAGAAACAAAGTAAAATTTTATAGCAATCCGAAAAAGAAAAAAATGATACATTCGTTTCTGCATGCCACTATACGAGAAGCTTAGAGCATTAAGTTTGCTTGTATTTAAACTTGATTGGTTTATTTGAATCAGTATTTGTTTTTCAATATGCAATATACCGATTTACCAGCTATTTATTATTAATTTAAGTAGAACCAAGTTTTTTCCGTTAGTGTAGATGCGCTTGACTGGGAGTGCGCCTTGAGTTCCATTTCGTTAGACCATTGAGCCTGATCGGACAAGGTCAGGAGCGAAGGGCGAGGAGACAGTTTTATTTACAAGGGTCGTTGATCTGTTTCAGACGTCACAGAAAAGCTACCCGCCAAGTTGAAGGACATCGCTAGCAAAGAGGAGAAGTATGCGGAAGTCTTCAACGAGAAGGCGGCCAAGATCGAACATGAGTTGGAAATAATGAAGAACAAGGAAGAATACATCAAGGTACTCGATTCCGTCGATACCGTTCTGCAAGAGGTTGAAGAACAGCTTGCTAAAAATGAAGGTTAGTTATTCTTATTTATCAATTAATGGGCATTTTACACTTCATAGAAAACTATGTAATAGAATAATTCACTGCTCTTCATTAAATAGACAACGGAAAATTTGGAAACAAAGAGACTAATCCATGTAAATTTAAATATATTCTTGATATATTATATAAATAAAAATATACTCTTTAGATGAATAATCTTGTTATACTATCTTTGGAAGGATAACTTTTTAATAATACCATTTTTTTTCCTTGCATCATAGCAGATTATAATAATTCTATATTGATTCAATTGAATTAATTCACAAACATTAATCTCTGTTATTTACCTTCTCATCGTAAACTGGTTCGATATTTCATTCTGTTTTATTATTATATCTTATTATCTTCTTATTAAACCAGTGTGTTAAAAACACATTAAGTAGAACTTAATAAAACCTCTAATGAATCAAACTCAAATAATAACATAACTTTAAGAATTAATAAGTTTTTAATAAAAACATCATTACCATCACCTGAAGTAAGAAGATAAAAAATACACTAAAACCATGCTTGAGCAAAATGAGTTATTTTCATTTAGACATTGTTCTTTTTGATCCCCAAGTCTAAGAATGAACTAAGTCGATTTTATTCTTAATCGAACTTAAGTCCCGTTTTAGCGGTTAAACTATCGTTTTCTATGGTGGTATTTCTCAGTGAAGATTTTTGCTGATGGTAAGCTTTGCGACAGTTGAAAAAATGACGGATGCAAAAAAGCTGAGTGAAGACTAACAATTTATAGATCGCTAAGTTCCATAGTTTTTGTTGATAAATTGGTTAGGTTTATTAAAGCCACTGGTACTTTCAACTCGGGTCTAACCTGGTAGTGCGACAGGACTGCTGCAACCGTTCATGCTGTAATTATGGCTTATGTCCTACTGTTTACTTAATGACTAAATGAACCGTACATACTATTGTTAAAAAAAAAACATACTTGTTCATTTATAATTTTCTTTGGTAAAAGAAGATCTCACATTTAAATCATTGCTGGTTCAAGTCCCGAACAAGTTTTAGTGGTTGTTCAGGTTCTTCACGCGGAAAAACATCATTTAATAAGATTGTAATTTTTGAATATTTAACAAAAAGTTTTTTCTAGATATCACAATTACATATATTATATGCGATAAATGTATGTCAAATTTGTAATTTTGGGCTTACTATCTCTATAAAAGCAAACCGCGGTTGGCGTGTTCTGTAATACGGTATCGGGCAGAATTATTACGATGAATGATAGGAGATATTTCTTTCGTTCAATTGTTGGAAAGTTTTATATTGCCCTTATTTGTTGATTTTCAGATTCATTAAACAAAACGTGTTTTTTTTTTTTCCTGGACTTTCTCTTATGTATTAAAATTGTATTTTGTTTGGTATGAAATCATAATGTTAGTTATTGGTGCAGATTATAATTTTAAAATCACTAACGATTCATACAAATAAATTTGATTATGAGCATATCCGCAAACTTTCCATTTCAATTGGGAGGGGAAGGGGAAGGAGAATGGACAAAAAAAAAAAAAAAAGTGGAGGTTTATATATGTATAAAAATAATATAATCAACATAATTATTGTGAAACAAACAAATGTAATACTGAATATTTAAAAATAAATTTACATTCATATTTAGGCATTTACATAAATATTTTTTTATGCGCCTGGATATTTTTGGAAACATATGGACTTAATAATTAAATTTATTACATATTCGTATGCATTAAACACGGGGGGAGGGAGACATCCTCTATAAGTTTCCACACCTTTTATAGCTAAAAATGAATGATGTTAAAAATTAAAATTATTTTTGATCCCTCAGTTTATTTAATCTCAAAAAAAAATTTTAAAAATCCTAGAATATGTTACTATATATAATTATCTCTGAATATAAATGAAAATTTAAATAATATTTAGGCCGTGATAAAATACCTGCTACTTCTATATCTCACACTAGAAAACTTGTCGACGTTTCCTGTTTTTATTCGATTTTAGTTTATATATTTTATTCATTCATAGATTATATGTTTTTTATTTCAAATTATTGGGGAAAGTGGAAATGATATTCTCACCACCTCTGTAATTTTATTGGGGAGGGGAGAGACAAGCCCCCTCTCTCCTCCCAATGCTCCGGCTATGGTTGTGAATTAAGGTGATTTACTCTATTCTAATTGAATTATTCATTGACTATAACATAAAAGTTGGTAGGCTTAATTAAGTAATTAATTAAGGAGAAAAACCTGGTGGTTGAGCATGATCTTGAGCGAATCACCTCTTTGCACAACCATTGACCAAGAACAGTGCTTTTCTTAATAGACATGAACTCAAGATCCTTCCTGGGTTGTATTGGTACAGATTTTTTTTTTGATTTTTTTTTTTTTTTTTTTTTTTTACGAAAATGGTGCGGATTCACATAATTTTGTTGTGTGGAAGTTGTTATAATTTCTTCATAATCTGTTGCTGTGTAATTAGTTCACCTTCAGTTTAGCGGAACGGCCCGTGGTTTAGCGGAGGTCCCTTCTCCGTAGATTATCTTGTGATTTGATTATCCTGTCCTGAGTCAGAGGCCTTGGAACATCGGCGAAGGCCTTCCTGTATTTTTACTGATTAGAAAATTGAATTATTTAAATACTTTCCATATTGGGAACAGTTTATTATTTTACTATTATTGTAACCTTTTCAACCTTCGAAATCGATTAGACTGTAAAGGTGTAAAAAGCTTAAAAAGAAACACGGAAAAAACATGCGAAAAATACCATGACCCCAAAAGGCCAAGCCAATTCCCAAAACCAAATTAATTTACTTATAAAGTTTCAATTCTCAAACTTTATTTTTAGGAAGTGTAGATGTGCACCAAACTCTGACGAAATTTACCCAAACTTTAATGCATTGCTTTGTTTAAGAAACACCTTAATGCCGAATTTCGGTAGTATAGATCATATTGAAATTATCAATTATAACTTTTGCTTGTTAATTAGATTAATTAATTGCAATGTTTACTTTTTAGAGAACTAAAAAATGTAGGTTTTTTTTTTTTTCAAAGGATAGCTCGTTTGTTCTCATAATCTATTGCAGAACTATCTAACTTAATCTAAATAATAATTGGCAATTTTAAATGATTTTTGTCAAACGGCTTGCCCCATGTGTGGATGACTCTTATTTTCAACGTAGCTTTTATATTCTATGTATACAAACTTTTGACAGATCGTTAAGCACTAGTGAGGAACCACTTTTAGTTGCGGGAGAAGTGCGCATGCTCTGGATTATCTGAATCAGTACTTTTTTTAATTTTGATGAATCGCACTATTATCGCTCCATTATAGAATCTTTTAATCGTCCACATTTGTTTTTATATTTCGTCTTCTGGAATATTCTTTATGTGCTTGCAATAATGGAGAACCCTGCTGTCCTTACCAAACACGACACGGTTATCTGCATATGCAAATTAGATGTAGGAGGTCTGCATTCTTCTAATACCTATAAGACACCCCTTAGTCTTGTTATTCTTTTTAAGTACGCCACTTAAGAGGATCTAAAATAGGAATCGATAGTCGATAATATCGAAATATCCATATATATATATATATATATATATATATATATATATATATATGTGTGTGTGTGTATTTTTTATGTGAGATCGATACTTCGATATTTTCGAATATCGATGTAGTCCCTACGATATTTCAATATAGTAACAAAAATTAAAACTAATGTTTTTGGAAAGCTCTGATCGTTGAAAATAAAAATTATACTCATCATGCATGTTTTCATGTAGAGTGTAGTGTGTAGTAAATTGAGAATGACAAAGATGGACAGGATCCAGTAAATTACTTTTACTTATCAGAGATATAAGAATTGATATTTCCTTTAATTAATTTTTGTTTTGTTTTATTTTAATGAAATTTAAAACTGTATTACATGAACAATACAACAAGTAAATGTGACATTAGTAACATGACATGTACAACATGAAGGGAAATTATCAAATTAAAGTTCTATATTAGAAGGTCCTGAGGCCATCTTCTTTTCAGACGCCTCGGAGGGTTATCAAGGATCAAGGAGGAAGCAAGGTTTGAAACGAGAGGGTTCGGATGGTTCTGCAGTTTGTTATGGAAGGATAGGTATCTGGATTGGGCCAAATCAGAAACATATGGAACATTAGGTCTTTATGGATGATTTTATTTGTGACAAAGTAAGGAGCGTTGAGGATTTTACGAAGTATTTTGGATTGTAAGGATTGGATACGTGAGGAATTCGATGGTTTAGTGCCTTTAATTAATTTAAAGACCACAATAACAAATTTTTTTATGCGCCTATGTGCTAGAAAATCAATAGTGATATTGATATTTAAAGATTACTGTTATTATAAAATTTTTTATAATATCGATAAAAATATAGACTCGATATTTCAAGACCGATATTTTGATGGTATCGTAGTTATAAGCCGATATTTTTATTGCTATTTGTCTTTCGATATCCCATCCCTCGTCTAAAGTAGTCGTGGATTCAGATTGTATACCTGTTTCTGATAATATTATTTATTGTGTTATTTGAACTATAAACCGAGTGTTTTGATCCTCTCATCCAATAGCTTATCAAAGTCTTTTGTGTAAGTTATATAAAATGAAGTGATTAATTTAGAGTCGTCAAATTTTCTAAAATCGAATACACTTTTAATATCAAATGTATTATTGTCTTCCAATGGAGATTCGGATTTTTTTTTCTGTCTTCTCTCCGAATACCACTTAAATTTCTAATATATTTACAATGAATTTTGCAAAAATCGTCCGAAATTTCTTAAACTTTTTATTCCAGTGCTCTAGTATGAAAAGATATATATAAATATAGTGTTCTTTTATAAAGAATTGAATTTAAATACTTAGTTTCATTGCTATAAATCGGGATGCAGATCTTCCGTCGTAGTGACCTCGAGGAGGAAGTGGTGGGAGCAGGAAGCCATGGCGGCTTGCGCACTCTGGCTCCATCCGCGAACTTTATTATTTGTTAAATAATAAATAAATTGCAAAGCTATTTAATGCATTAAAATAATGAATATATTTATAGTTACCATTAAAGTAATATCATTGGTTTTGATTTAGTCCTATGTCAATATTTTTTGGCGCCCCAAAACACACACCGATGATCGAAAGAGATTTTTAGGATTCTGTGGTTTCATTAATGAGAAAAGTTAAAATCCAGAAAATA